GATCCCTGCGGGGAATTCTTCTATGGGAAGGTGCGGGTACGAGTTGGAGCAAATATTTTACTCGTTCGCGTTAGCCACAGGCATTGCGCAGGACTCGTAGTACTCGAGTACTCGTACAGTACTTGCACGATGTGGAGTGCAGTGCCTATGTATGCACCGAGGCAATTTATTTTCTTTTTCCTCTTCCTTTTGCGCTGGGGGTGCAATGCGAACCTGATGGGATGTAGAGTACTCGAGTACTCGAGTACTGTGGAACTCCCCGGCCCGGAGGATTCAAATATTGCCTTTGCTTTTTCTTTTTCTTTTTCTTTTTCTTTCTTCTTCTTCCCGGGTTTAGCTTAGAGTACTCGAGTACTTGTACCGCGGTTCGTATCACGTCTGGAGTAATTGCCGAGTACGGTACAGAAATATGGCCGTGGCAGGGCTCTAATCTGTCCGTTTTGAGATGGTAGCTCCCTATTGCGGAAAGCCTGGTAGTGATGGAAGAGCAGGGGAGGCGGGGCGAAGTGGGTTTAATCTACCAGCAGCTAAACTACGGTAATAGAACACCCTAGGATATGATATATGACTTGATTCTAGGAATTCATTCTTAAACCGGTACTGTACGAGTGCAGTACTAATTAGTACAGTATGCCCCTCCATTTCACGAGACAGCACTGTACCACCTAGTCTACCACTCATCACCCCGCAACGAAGAAAACAAGAAGTAAAACTTCCCCATTATAAAAATAAATAAAAAAGTGCAAGCCGCCCCCGCCCCCCTTCCATGCCGAACAAAGCCCTAAACATCGCACCGTATACACGGCACCAATATATTTTATGATACCGATACGATACAGCAATTGGCCCAATCCAAAACCAACAAGCATGCAGGTATCATGTGTGCGGTACGATAGGCGGAACAACCTCCAGCCGCACATCACGTGACGCGGTATTTGGAACAACGAATCCCCCGACCAGAAGAGGTACCCGACGCGGGCCCGGGACAACAAGATGGTGGGGCATGGCAGAAGGGGTCGTGGGGGTGTGGTTTTCGGGATTGGGGATCGCGGGGTCGGGGCGTCATACGTCGGTTTACGGAGGCCGGAGATGCGAAGGGGGCTGGCTGGTAATCGATTCTTCCGAGTGGGGAGAATCACGTCTACCCCCGCCCTAGTGCAGTACAAGTACAAGTACAGTACGCAAGGAAGGGTATAGTATCTGCGCTCGCGAGGCGCGGAGGGAGGCCTTGAATATAGTACAGTACAGTACAGTACAGTACAGTACCGGTACTTGCGGCTCCGGTGGGCGAGGAGTGGTATGATACGACGCGAAGTGCAGGAACGATTTGGATATCGGGCCGGGCCCCGGACACCGTGCGCGATGGCGGGAGGAAGCAGCAATTCGGCGACTTTTTTGCCTTTTTTCTTGCCTTTCCTAGGCGAATGGGGTTCGCCGGAAGGTTGCGGCACCGTAATCGCGAGATCCTTTGCGACATCAACCATACTGTGTCATGCTGGCTTGTTCGGATCAAATCCCCTGAGGATTGGACGGCACCTCTACGGCTGATCATACCATCGTGCATACGGTGTCCCCGAGTAAGCTACCGTACTCGAGTATTGCCCTTCAACATGCAATTTCGTATCATACGGATACTGCCGCCACGGTATGCTCCACACCATGGCAAAACAAGGCCATTCACGACCACAACCCAGCCCAAGACTCCTCAAGCACCATGACACCAATACTATCCACACCACATCCACTCGGGTAGAGTAGGAAGAAAATATTTTTAAACCCGGCACAGCCACACGGACACACGTAAGAACTTTATCCCCACCACGAACAAACTTTCAGAAAAGGAAGAGGGAAAGAGGAAAATAAGACCGGGAAGAACACACGGTACTCAGCCAAATCAGGAGATTCTATCGCAGGTGGTGTGCCAGAGTACCCCCCCCCCCTCCTCGGGACTCTGCAGTATCATCACATCATATACCCGCGTTTCTCAACAGAGTACGAGTGACACTTCATGAACGCTCCATGGAAAAAGTCCCCTGTGCACATTGATTCCTTCATTCGCCCATCTTCCGCTTCACTAGGTAGGGTCGAGTTGAGTTGAGGATCGTCCGGACAGAAAAGGCCCTAGGGAGAAGGAATCTCACCCTTAGGTGGGAGAGAGAATATGACGCTACTATGGGAATACGGTACTTGTACCCCCGCAATTTCGTCCTCTGGCGATTGCATCATACCAGTAAACAGCCCTGACAAAACTGGAAGTTCTCGGTATTGACGTTGTTAAGTAAATCAGGATATCGGAAGGTGTGTACGTAGTGATGTCGGGCGAGTGAATGATCGTGGATGCCAAATTCCCCATTATTATTATTTTTTAAAAAAAACACGTACTCGAGCATAATACTGTACAGTATGGGCTCCCATGTACTAATTCTCCACACACTCAACTTCTATTATACCGTAGTTTCGGAATTAGTAGTGCCAATTGGTGAATGCTGCCCACAGAACATAACAGGGCAGAGCAGAGCAGAGCAGAGCAAAGGGGTCCCGCCACGAGAGTGCTGATTTCGATTCTCCGCTCCGTCAGGCCACCCGCCGATACGCTCCCCAATTCCCAATCGAATAAATAATTGGTGGGAGGAGTTACAAATAAGCCATTTACAAAGCCCGGAATTTCCTCGACCCTGGCGCGCTCTCGTCATTATTATCATACTTGTCCCCGCCAATCAATGATGAACTTTTGTCCCGAGAACTATCCATCATACCTACCAATAGGGAGGTTTCGCTAATGCAAGAAGATTGGGGAATAAAAAAAATAGATAGCTGCTCGGCAAGCTGTAAGATCTCCACATCTGACATATACCATTTCCCATGTGAGAAACCAGCACCTGTGTACCCGGTGCAAACTAGCCTTCACTCTCTCCAAGTTGAGAACTTGATTGTGCTGATGCAGGCATCCTGGTTTGGTCTTGTAGCTGGTACAGGTGCTGGGCTTTTCGGCTATGGTGTTAGGGAATAACTGTTCATGAGTTCAAGCTTCGATGGAGGAATGGCAGTGAGAGTAGTGTGAGTAGTTGAAATCTGGCCTTAGCTGCAGTCTGTCATGAGAACACTCTCTTCCTTAGGTACTACAATTACTTGAGCCGTGCTGAGATACATGTAGCAGTTGCCAGTGTTATTTTTATTTTAGATCCACCATTGTTCGGGATAAGTTAACTTGGGTATACCAATCCTGGATAACAGAATTTTTGTTATCAACACATCAATATGTGGCGGGTTATCACAGCGACGATGGAAAATGGGGGTCTTGGGACTCGAATTCTCTTAGCAAAACCTCCCTAATATACGAGTAACAGTACGAGTGCAGTAAATCGATTAGACTACCGTATGATAGCATCACAACACACTTACAATAGTATTCCATGCCACCTCCTGGATTAAGTATATGATACAACCTTCAAGGAGGAATGAAATGGAATGGAATGAATGAATGAATGAATGAATGCATACCGGTATTATAGCTCAGGACAAGCGGCGGGCCTGCTCCACAATTCTGTGACGCAAATTGCCCCACAACATATTTTGAGTTAAAGGTGAAAAGAAAAAGAAAAAAAGAGAGAAGAAGGTTCTATGGTTGGTTGGTTCTCACCGCTCCGGTTGAAGGAAGGAAGGATGAAGGAAGGATGAAAGAAAAGAAAAGTTACTACTATAATAATATTAATTACCGTATCATAGCTTGACCCGATCGCACACGATATCACTCGACACTCCATTTCAGAATGATCCGCGGCCGATTCTAATTCATATATAATACGATAAGGGGGGGAATACGGTAGCGGATTATTCAAGTATGTAAGTAAACAGTCCACAAAAACCTCACCCTCTGTGTATGAAATTTCTGTGGGCCACTTTAGCCATCCCCCCCCAGGAAAATCTATCGTGCCTATCTACCATATCATAATTATCATACCAACCATCAACAAGCAAGCTGTTTACATGCCGTGGTTCTCGGGTGGTATCTCCGCATCCGTGCGACTATAATTATTATGATACCAATGGAAATATTTGGCAAAACTGTCAGAGACGGCACAACTCCCCGTCACGCCGTATATTGTACATCACACCTTGATGGTGATATCGGGAAAGCGGGTGATATTTCATGATTTGGAGCGTTGTTCCCGCCGCTACCTGGCGACTCCACAGTACTGTGCTGTGCTATGCTTAAATGATCAGACAAACCACGCCAAACCTGAAAATACCGCCCGACCTCAACCAGACATCATAGATACCCATCATGTAATTTCCGATTCCCTTACCCTGCGGGAACCAAACTAACCAGATAGCGAAAGAAGCAATCCGGTTGTGAGCAAGAAACGAAGCAGGTATCCCCTCCATCCAATCGCGCAAACCCCCTCCACCTCCGGATATCCCATCTTCATACATCCATGTCGGGAAAAACTCCAGTTGAAAACCTGGCAAGAAAAACCATACACCCATAAACACCCGTACCACAACCCCACAGAGAGCGAATATACTAGGTAGAAGCAGAAGCAGAAAAAAAGAATATTGACAAAAAAACAAGGGTATAAAGTGAGTGTACAAAGCGGGAAAGAAAGAAGACAGCGTGCATCTGATAGCCAAACACCGCTCATGGCATTCGATTCACTTCCGATGGGTGTGGGGGTCGTGGGGGATCGCGGAGTAATTGGTGTGGAGCAAGAGCGTACGTTACCCCGTCCTCGGATGCATATGATGGAGGACGGGGAGCTGTCCTGCTGTCCCGACTGCTCTGCCCGCGGCCCCCGGAGGTCGTTGGTAGGCCTGCATTAGCCCTTCTGACCCAGAAGAACTGGTCTGGATTTACCCTCACACTGTAATTGTTAGAGGGATACGAGCGGAGACTGGGTTAAAAACAAGGAAAGCATACGAGCACCGCCAAAGCCCATAAACTGGTGGCGGGGACTTGGTAGAATCAGCACCATGTGGTGTGTGTATCCGGATCGGCTCCCGTGGGTTTGCATATCCACTTGGCCCGGCGACGGACGGGATGCGGGTGAAGTTTCGGGAAAGGCGCTGGAAACGTCGAGGATTTGTCGCCATGATGCACAGCCTAATCAACGCGTGACAGAAGAACATTGTCGCAACAAGGATGGTCAGTATCAAGAGCACATGCCACTCATGGCGCAGATCGTGGGACAAGGCGAGTCCGAGGTCTTTTACAAGTTCCGTTAGTCATTGAAGAAAGGAGCCCCCTGATATATAAATCATAGCGTGTATTGAATACTCACAGATCGCCAAAGTAACGGCAAGGAACAGCGCCGACACAAGAACTGTAGCTAACTTTGACTGCAACCCCTTCCGCGACCTCCTCCTCCAAAACCGTCTCCCCCGCGACTTCACCAACCCCTGAGCCTCCAAGTTCATCATCAATGGCGCCTGCATGCCATCCGGCTGCCCGGCTGTATTGGCAGACATCCCAATAGTATCCCTCTGCATGGCGGGTTCCGGCCTTTCAATTATAGGCTGCATAGGAGCCCGAACCGAATGTTGAGGGACGTAAAACTCCATGGCATTATATCCCATAGAGTTATTCCTCGATAATGGTGAGGTAGAAGGCGAAATCAAAGCATGTTGCTGGTGACCCACTACCGGTGAGATGGGCGAGACGATGTTCGAGTCTGTCGAGCGCATTTCTTGCCCCAGTGTTGCCGTAGCCGTAGGTGGCTCTGGTGCTCCATGATTACCCCTCCCCCCACCGCTCAACCATCCTCTTATTCCACCTGTTCGCTGCTGCTGCTGTTCTTCTGGCGCCTGTCGAGGTCCAGCAGGCCCTCGCTCACCGCCACCTATAATCCTCGCAAATGGGCGAGGCATTGACCTGGGCATATAAACCTATCGATTGACGGCCGAAATTGCCCTGGATTTTTCCCGCGGTATAATCGACGTTTAAACAAGAGAGAGAGAAACAGTAATGATCGGATCCCAGGCCGATAGACAGAAAACGCTTTCAAAAGCGCTGAATCCGAAATTCCGCAGAAAAACCAGAGAAACGAAAGGTGGGAGGGGAAAAAAAATGCTCGAACAAAGGTGGGTAGTTTTTCTTTAATCCTCTCCCTTTTGAACACGAGAAAAGGATTGTTTGCTTCCCTTTTCCTTTCTGAGCTTTTCCGGAGCCTTTATCGTGTTGCCTTTCCTTTCCCTAAAAGACGGGAACCTGCACTGCAGATGCAGTTCGGAGCAAAATCCTCGTACAGAGGGAGTGATAGAGAAGAGAAAGAGAAAATAAAGATATAGAACCGGACCCCCGAGGCTTGGTTCGAACGACAAAAGAAAAGATGGAGGTTATCTTTCCCACCCCTAAGAGATTTTGGAGAGAAGGTGCCTGCACAGAAAGAAGGATCTGATACGGTAGGACTTGAGGGAGTGTCTAGTCAAGTTTAGTGTCAAAGGAGTGTACGGGGGGGGGGATCTTGTCCTCTTCGGTGGAGAACGGAGAAAATCCGCTACAAAGACCGCCAGAGCATTTGGGGCGAGGTGGGCAGTGGGGGGGAGAAAAAGGGAAGGGGGGTGGTTGAGGAAGAGATGGTGAAGCAGAAGGAGCAGATGTGGAAGGGGAAACGAAAACGGGAAGGATCTGGATTGGTTCAGGGTGCGTTGGGGACTGTTGTGTAACATTTGGCTAGCCATCCTGGCTTTCCCTGCAAGGTACGAGTTCACAAAGTGCTAGTATCATACTTGCACTCTATTGTGCTCCGGAACGGCACAAAAGTCTGCACAGACACACGGGCTCCGCTATCGATACCCAATTTTTGCCTTTCATCCCTATCCCACTTCCCCCTTTTCCCTCCATCGCGGCGGAGAGAGTGGGGAAGAGAGAGGAGTGCAAAGACGGGCATAGATGAAAAAACTAACCGCCGCGCAATGAGCATGTTCATCACGGCAAGGTGTGCAACGATTTATTTACCGCTTTCCTATCACGCTCCCACTGTAGTATTATTGTGTCCAGAGCTCTTTATAAGCATCTTTTCCGCGAGCGGTGTGAGAAGTCACGATACCGATACAAGTGTTCCTGTAACTCACCTTCCCCCTCCCGAAGCGTTTCTGGTTTCCTCCCCCCTCTCTTCGTCAATGGAACCCCCGCCAAGTGCAGTGTCCTAGAGAAAAGAGGAATATATAGAGAAACCAGCACTGTAAGCCAACCCCATTCAACCCTATCCTCCAAGGACGGGATTCTTTCTCAGGAACGATCAGACGTTCTTCCGCTCACAGCTACCGGTACGGGCAGGATGGCCCTTCCCACACTCAGGGGCAAATCTGTTTTGGCCCGTTTCAACCCCCCCCCCCCCGTATGGTTAAACAGGCTGAATGGGATGTGGGGGGAAAAAAAAGAAATCCCATAAATTCCCGGAATGCAAGTCACACTGGAGGGAGAGAAAATGTGCTCCGCACTGGTCCAAGTGCTCAAATACAGTATCATACTAGTACTGTACAGCGCACTACAAGCATGGAACCGGTTCATGGCGGGTCAAACGAATATGCTCCGTCCTATCTAAACATCGGCAATAAACGGACATTGCACTGTGTAGTGCTGTGTGCTTACACTGGTACTGTCCATATTTTCCCTCCTTTTCCCTCCTCTGTTCCACATACCGGTGCAGTACAGTACAGTACAGTACGGTACCGGTATGGTATCTGCGACTTCCTTTTCTCCACCTCTCAAGTTACCCCTAAACCGTACAGCAAAGTGCAGAAGACCAACAGTACATCCGATAACTGTTGCCAGCCAGCGAGCGAGCCTCGTAAAGGCGGACGCACAGCAGTCCGCTTTGGCTCAGCCAAGAACGATACCGGCTTTAAGAATAGGTGCCTTGCAGGCTACAAAGTACTCGTGCAGTACTCGAGTGCGGCAGAGTACCGCCATTCCCCGCTATTGGCAGCAACGAGACGGGCAGCAGGCGCAAGTGTACGGTAAAACCTTCTCTACTCGAGTATCCCCATCCCTTCGCCCATCCCCTTTAGCCGCATGCTGTTTCCGCTGGGTATTCTTGGGTTATGAAATCAAGCTTTGGCTTGGATGGAGGACTGCTATTTGCCTTGTGTCGCTTCTCCTTTGCCCTTATCCACAGCACGAATATCGGGGGATCCTTCCTTCCCCTCCCCCGCGAGATTCTGAAATGAAATGCACATACCAGCATATGGTGTCAAATTACCGCTATTACCTGTATTTCATACTATACAGTACTCTATCTCTTTGGAATACCGCCAAGAGCACTGCCTACTGTTTAGTCTAGTCGCAAAAGCAGATCAGGCTACTGTCCCGTACCGTGGTACGCCAAACAATGCAATTGCGTAAACTGCGGTAATTTTCTCGTTAGACCACGGTACCGTACTGTACAAGTACAGTACCGGAAGAATTAGGCCACGCTTCGGGACGCCAGAGCCTCTTCCCCTAGCGCTTGTACCGGTAGGGCAGACGGGTAGTATATTCCTTTTATCTGTCCCACCAGATGGCTGAAATCCAGTTCCTCTCGCTCCGTTCGCCTCCCCCTCTTCCAGTAATCCAAAGCGGGGAATTCTGGGCGTCCTAGCGCGAGCCCCACTTGTTGTTCTTCTACGGTAGTTTCCACAGTAGACTATCCGAACATCAATCGCAGCAACTGGTAGTACCAATAACTTGCCCACCTTTTGACCCATAGCGGTATAATGGTAACCCCACTACCACCAACACCTCCACTCCCCCCCAGGGGCTAGCACAAGTGCAGGAGCACAGCACTACTTGTGGTACTAATACAAGTCCCCGCAAAAATCTTGTGAGATCCATGGTGACACCTCCGTCAGCCCAGGGTAGGTTCGGCCTGACAAGTCGGTAGGAACCGTGAATGCAGGTTAATGGGATCCCAGGGGGCCAATCCTATACCATGCCAGGAAAGTGCTGATCCCCTTCAGAAGCTCTTCGTCCCCGAACCCTGAGATTTACAGGGCCGGCGGAGATTGTGGATCTCACTTGGATTTTACGGCTATGGTAGACCATTGTTAGATCCGGTATGTAGTTATGCAGTATCAATCATGCGGTACAGTACCGTACCAGCCTGCCAACAAAAGAAACGCACCCCCCAACTTAGCGGCAAAGAATGAGGAAAATTTGATATTTTTAACCCGGAGGTTCACATAGTTGGATTTCCAGGCCGCAGGAATTGTTCTACAAAGGCTGCAGCCCGATTTTTATGGGATTTCGCATCGCAATAGCCTGTTGTGGTTTCATGTCTCTGTATGGACAGCAAAGACGGTTGATAAATTAAAAAATTGAAAAATTTGTAATGTCAAGTTCCTTATGGATGTCTATCACATCATCAAAGTCTGGGGGGGGGGGGGGGGGGCAGGATTCGCTGCGGTTGCTTCTGGCAGTTAATTGAAAATTGATGATTTGTATGGAAAACGGTGGTGGTTTGCTCCCCCTACGGTAGCTGCCAGGCTCGTATAATAGCGTACTCGTACAGAACAGCACAATACTGGACTAGACTGCGTTAGCATAACCTCTCACTCGAGGGACTGCCTACCGTACTAGTACTGTACTGTATCATACCCTTTCGAGAACAAGAGGAACAGCCCCTGCTCCTTTTCTCTCACTACCCTCGGCAATCGACGTAGCGCCGGGATTGTGGCGCGACAGTTGTCCACACACCGTAGTCAAATTAGTAAGCTTACTCTCCAACACCTGCCTTTCTCTCTAACTTATTGCCATAGCATCCAACATTGCTAGCCTGTGGGCTTGTTCACGTTGGCTCGTGAGGCCGTCACTCGGACTTATCCCCACGACGAGAGAGACCCATTTCACGTGGGTGTGGAGTGCAGTATCACAACCGTGGGTCCCAGTGCTCGATACCCTCAACATCCAATGGGCACGATCCAACGCTGCATCGTCAAAGAAAAATCCCAAAAAGCGGAACTGATTGATTGATCTCTGGTGCTTTCCGGTCATTTCATCCCGGGGTTTCTCGGCCGCGGTCATGAAATAGCTCCGGGGTGAGATAGTCTATGGTGGATACCGTAGTTCTTGGCCGGTGGTAGTGTCCATCCGGCACACAGCACAGCAACAAACCCCTCCCCCCAAGATGGTACATGAACAGAAGAAGAAGGCGACCAAATTATGCACCAATCGGTCTACCGTACTTGTAGTGAAGGTTTAGGAATGGGTGTTTCACAGCTCGCACCGCCGACGGATCCAGGTATGATAACCTAATCCAGGAACCTCCTGCTTACACTCACTCACTCACTCGTGCAAAGATCTTGGTTGGGGGGCCCTCACCCTAAGCGCCGGAAATTTATTTATCATCTGCGGACTAGATCCGCATCACATGGGAGGAAAAGGTATTGTTTCGGAAAAATAATAATAATTCCAGTTTCAGAAGTCCATACAGCTTCCGAGACAGCAAAGTATTGCTATTCCTTTCTTTATTTTCTCAAATCTCGACACGCCCATTGCAACTACCAGAGATTTCCCCTTCCGGGGCAGAGGCAGGCGAATCCTGGTACAAGTATCATAGCAGTCTGGTTGGTTGGTTGGTGGGGTCCGGGACGCCGTAACCTGGCATTTCGCCTCGCGACGAGAACGAGCGTGAGGGCCGTTTCATGTTCGCGTGTAGGATACTGTGGAGCATTACCGGCAGCCGAATGTTCCGTCGAGCGAAAATAGCAGTACTATAACTCGATGGAATGAATCGCTTCTGGCGGTGTTGTCATGTCAGGCAGGCCTACTGTGCGAAGAACATCTTTGTTGGGGTTATACTGATATACGGTGGGATCAATGATCCGCATCACCGAACTTCGCTCATGATACTTCACAGTACGGCACGGCGCACTGCCGCGGAATACTCGTACTGTACTGTACAGTACTATAAGTCCCCACGAGATGGCAAAAACCGCCAGTCCCTCCATATCCACTCGGGGAAAGCTACACTTAGGCTTCGTCAGCTTTTCGGGTATTATATTAGCTGTATCGTGGATAATGGGGTTCGGTGGTGCGCAATAGCGGTTGTCATAGCAAACGTCATTCAATTATGAGTGCGGACTCGTTAGGGCATATGTGAGATGGTGGAGAGATGGAGTATGATACTTAAGGTTGGCTTGTGTACGAACTTTTCAAACTTTCCTCCTATCCTATGATACATCCTCCCACTTTTATCCCGATCGTTCTTATCCCTATTATCCTTATTATTCACTCTTATCATTTTTTTTTTCCACGAAACGGCAGCCTGTTAGTGCAGTTAGTTCAAGACATTTACACTCTTTACACGAACCTAATTGCTAACTTGGTAACATCACTTGTGCTAGATATTCCGTCAGTGTACCTGAACTCCCTTGCAGGCATTCTCGGCCTCGGCGTCCTCATCAGATCACACCTGGGTATATACAAAGTTGGCATTGGGCACCTCACCTCGGTTCCTCCCCCCCTCTTACCTGTTGTGAGGTGGGATCCGTGGACAAACAAACAGACGGTGGTGGTGGTGGAGAAAGGGACTTCGTTGGTGTTCTCAGGAGGATACAAGACACCGAACAACATGTGACTGCTCACTCCAACCTCAACTCCTTCGGGCATCCAAACCTCATTTCCAATGGTGGACACCACACCAAGGATCATCACCCATCTACACTCAATATCTTCACTCAGGCTGATGCACATTACATCATCCGCAATTGCCCATACACTCTCAACAGTGCCGCCCGGCACCTCGCCCTCGACCACTCCCGCTGTGCCGACCATAACCCTCCTCGCCGCACCCAACCCCCTCGTCATCTACATCCCGACCACGCTCCTCGCTACTACAACCCTAGCCCTCCTTGCCACTCCGGGCCAATGGTCGGAGGTAGAGCAGTGCAGGAGAATGCCGGAGGGAGAACAACACCGACGGGAGTCCTGCGAGGCGCGGCCGCAGCGGGCGAGCGAAACGCCCGAGCCGCACCTCGTGGTTGGCAAGCCTGTGCAGAGTGAGTAGGTGCTGTGTGGGGCACGGGAGAGGGAGCACTGTTGCAAGTACAGTCGCACCCCGTTACCCCAGATCTCGTTCTCCCAGATTCTTCGCTGTTCCGGATGAATTTCTAGGAATTATGAATTTCTTTACGCCAAAACCAAACCTGTTGTCCCAGGTAACTCGCTGTCCCGGACGGATCCCTAGACTTTGGCCTTCTGGGACAACGGGGTGCGACTGAATATCAGCCGGCGTGTTGAGTGGAAATTGGAGGCGGAGTGGAGGGGATAAATGGAGGAAGGGGTAGAATGATACGAGTAGAACTGGAGTGGGGTTGGGTCGCTGAAACCAGTGTACAAGTATGAATGGGGTTTCATCATTATTTGTTGCAGTCTGGTGGGGACGGGCCACAATTAGTCGTAATAGTATTAGAAAATAAAGGATGGAAACAGAAAAATAGTTACCAATACGCAAGACTCAGTGTCCCAACACGGCTTGCACAATCAATAGTTCCGAATGGCTCCCGGCTTGTAGGTGCTGCCCATCATGCCCAATATTTCACAATTGCATGCACCATCACTCGTATATGGTGCGGAACCCTATGTTGAAATTGTTGTTGATCGAATGACAATGCCAATGGTTGCTACGAACGTTTTACGGAACCGGAGGAGAACAGTGGGAAAAGAGAGAGAATAGAATTGATCTTAACCGCTAAGAGTGGAGTGAAAGAGCAAGAAGAAAAACAGGGAAAGGTGAGAGAAGAAGCTGATCAATCCTCATGGGAGATGTTGAGGAAGGAAGTAAAGAAACAAAAGGAAGAAACCAAACATAAGGTGCAGACCTGTTTGCCAGGTATCAGAAGTACATAAGTAGTTGCGTATACCTGTAAATATTCCCGGCTCTTATACGTAATCGTTCTCATATATTCAACACTCAACACTCTGCTGCCCACTTAGCCCACTAAAGCCCAAGCCTTTTTCTTCTCTCCCTAGCCCCTTGGGCATGTCTTATATCCCCTCTTTCACTCCCGTGCGCCTTCCCGCCTTTTAGACAAACCTTATCCCCAAAGGAATTCACAAACGCACCCACAAGAGCTCTTTCAGCCCCCTTAATATGCAGAGACACCCGCTTGCCGGGGCAGCAGCTCTCGTGCTCTCTACCGATTAGATCTCCACACCATATTCATATCGCCCCCCCCCCCGCCAGTAACGCGCATGTCCGTGGCCAAAGCTATTCCGGATGAAAATCCGTTATGACACTATATAATATACTTCAAACAGGCCCATATTCACACAATGTCACTCGATTCATAGAACTCTCGGAGAAGCATAGTAAGCCAAACGACACCAACCCCCCCCCGTTCCCCCAGGCGGCCATCACGGATAATCACTCACACTTTGATCCCCGACTCCACACTTGAATCTCCCGCACTCACGAAAATTATGCACCAACCCCTCAATCCGTGAGCCCTTTTTTTCTTCTTTTTTTCCCTTCTTCTTCTTACCCGATACACCGTTTTACCATCGCGGACTTGGAATACTGTAGCCTCAGACTGCCCGAAATCGGCGACCGATTCCGTGGGAATGGAAAAGATCACTAGAAGTGTTGTAATATCACTTTGTTCAAGAGTAGAGAAAAGACTTGTCTTCTATCCCATCTCCTGTGAGAAGGGAGTACTAATATACTACATGAGTTTAGCAGTCACTTTGAACAGCGTGTCCTGTATCATGCAAGGCAGTTTCCCAACAGGACCTACTCGGACCATCCAGCTCGGTATCCCTACACCAAACAAATCCGATGCGGTAACCATCTAGTAATGGAATCCTGAGAAGCCACATTTTCCAACAAGAAGGCGAGAGCTGGGATAGAGTGACACTCCGTGACGCAGCCACCAGCCACCAGCCACAAGCCACAAGCCACCCCCTGCGCTTCAAGAAGCAAAGCAAGAGAGAACTAGAGCCGGGTAGGATAGGGTACGGTAATGGCTAAGCGCGGAACAAGAGGGCTATTTACGGATTTGAGTGCGCGTGTTTTTTTTGCAAACCTTTTTAACGTGAAAGCGCGAGAATGATTTTTTTTTTGATTGCAATGGTGGGCACGGTAGAGTGCGGGGTTATATTGCAGCAGTCTATCGTGAGGTGGGTGTGATACGTATATGGGTTCAGGACCGCCGGGAAAAAAAAAACTGCCGCCGGCCGTTTTTAGATATACGGGGATTCATGCACTACTCGTAGTTTTTGCAGCGAAAGGGTAATGGGTAGTGCATTGTAGTATTGGGATTTTGGAATGAATATTGTATAGTACATTGGCCCTTTCTGATACTACACACCACCGAAGGTACCGCATTACACCCCCCTCACTTCGGCCTCCATTGAAACAGATTCCCCGTTCTTGGTTGTAGCTTGTGCGTGTATTATTTACCTAATTCTCCGAGTAGGATGTTTCTATCTGAGGATGCGGATACAACTGTGTATAACGTTAGTACTGGATCAGGAGGCTGGGGAATGAATACTCACTAATAGGCTCCGCAGCGTTTGGAGAAAAGCGCATATCATTAACTGTCCCCCTGTGTCCCGGAAGCTTGTACAATAGTTTTTTGGTCCCCGCTTCCCATACCGCGACACTGCCGTCCCCACCTCCGGCCCCAATCCTATCGCCCGTCGGCGACCAACTTGCCCGAATGAGATTCTTTTCTATTCCGGACGGGGCCCCTTCGTATCTGTGCAGTAAATTGTTAGCGGGGAGTCTTGCAATGAAGAAGGGCCTGATTTGGAAAGACATACGTATTTATTAGTCGGTTAGATGGTGCGAACGCCCGGATGTCCCATGTGCGAACAGTGCTATCCATCGCGTTCGATAACATAGATTGACCATCTGGGGAGACACTCAGCGATGTGACCGTGTCTTGGTGGCCGCGCATAGTGTACGCTACCGAGCGCTTCCGTAGGTCCCAAACCTGGCAGTCGGGTTGATGAGTAAAGGTATAGTTCCAATTCGGGACGAGTGACTTTTTGCCCGTACCTTGATATCGTTATCAATCCCGCCACTGAAGAGCTCATTCCCAGCTTCGCTGATAGCGACAGCCGTTACTGGGAAGTTTGTTTCCAGATAATCTATGCATTCTTTTTGTCGGGGGTCCCATATCTAGAAGCGTATCCTTTAGCATCGGGACCGCAAAGGAAGCATTATCGGGAGCGCGACATACTCCGAGAGACCCATCATCGCTCCCACTGGCCATCAATTCCGGTCCCCGCCTAGTTACATCCATTGCATTCACAACATCTTCATGCCCGATGTATCTTCTTATCCTAATCCCAGTGCTAACGTCCCACGTGGCCAGTAAGGTGTCAGCAGAAGCAGAGAATATAATTTGTGAGTCTCGCGACCAATGGAGATCGAGCACAGCTCCCTTATGCCCCGGAAGAGCAAGATAATTCGGGCAGTCCCCATATGTTCTCCAAACCACTGTCGCGTCATTAGCTACCTCCGGCGGGAAAAAGGAGGAGTGTAAGAAATGTAGAGAAACTGAAATGCGGGGAAGACTGTTACAAATTGATCTATCGAATGAACCAGAGGCAATATTCTGACCTGTGGGATCGAAGCGAACAGCGAACACTTCCTTCTGCAAGAGGTCATTGGCATACCGCACATTTGGCAAGGAAGGAAAGAGAAGGTATTCTCCCAGGCTGAATCCTTACCGAATGTCCCGTTAGTTCCATGATTGGAGCTTGTAAAGCCGATGTTCGCGGTACCTGCGAAATCGCGTTGAATGAGCATCACATCCGATCTCTGAAAGGCTGTAAAAATTGGCTGGGACTGAAGCAAAACGTACAGCTTGTATGAGGGCTCCACTGCTCGTAGAGCTATTCACAATCGAAACCGCTGACGATCCATCTCCACCAGCGCCATCTGGTCTGATTCTTTTGACGAGTTGAGAGGATCCGAGGGACCCGGAAGCCTTTCGTTTGTCGGTCATGGTTAAAGAAGATGATGGGTGCCTAGGGTAGTATAGATTCCTGGGCAGTCCGGAAGATATTAATCGAGCTGCACGTAAATAGGCACGGTTTGTTGGCGACGGGGAGTTGAGTATGTGTCTGCGTGATGAAGATGCCTGTGATGAGAATTTGACGGGAATTGCTTTCAAGTTATGCGGGAGCGGCCGTAACTCTACCGTACGATAGCCCGATGAGGCTGAATCGCCCTTACAGCAACTTACCTTGCCAGCCACGGGACACAGCCCTGTTGGACCAACTTACGCTCCCGTGAGTTACGGCCCTGACAGCCAAGATCAGCCACTCGACAGCTTCTACCTAAATTCCAGTTCCCATCAGCAGACTTGTGCAAGGAGCCTCCCTTGCTCTAATAACGCCAGTGCCAAATCCCACCGTTCAACCTTCACCTTCCGACGGCAAGGATACAAGCACCTTTCATAGCCTCTACCTCTTCTAAACCCTTGCTATCATGTCGGCCACTAAAGCTGCTCGTGTTGGTGAAGAGTAAGTTCCCCTTCTCGGGGTTTGCTGTTGAACCCTTGATCTGCTCAGAAGATAGAGAAAATAATAACTGACCAATTACCAGTGTGTGGAAGACCCGGATCGATAAGGTGGTCAGTACCAAAGCTTCATGTTTCCACCCTTTATTTCGTTAGGAGAGGACGGAGTTCTCATGTCTAGCTCTTGATTCTGGTACAACTAGAACGCCGAGCTCGTCACCTTAACCTATGGGTCAATCGTCGCTCAACTATGCAGAGACTTTGAGGGGGACTACCTTGAGGTCAACAAACAGCTTGAGAGGATGGGCTACAATATCGGTTTGAGGTTGATTGAAGATTTCCTAGCGAAGACGAACATGGGAAAATGTGCCAATTTCCGGGAAACCGCTGAGACGATCGCAAAGGCACGTCCAATACCTCCACACATTCGTTAGCGGGGCACTCTTTCTTGTTCCCATTTTCGTTGCCTGAAATCATCTCGCGGATGGAGGGCATCGCGGAGATGTATTTTGAGCAGATATTCCCTTAGTATCTCTTTAGTCTGATACTATATGCTGATAGCTCGGCAAACGAATAGGTCGGGTTCAAGGTCTTTCTGAACATCACTCCGACCGTGACGAATTGGACCACCGATAATAAACAGTTCTCCTTGGTTTTTGAGGAAAACCCATTGGCGGATTTCGTTGAATTGCCAGATGATGGTAGAGCACAAAACGAACTTTGGTATTCGAACATGCTCTGTGGCGTCCTGAGGGGTGCATTAGAAATGGTGGGTGGCGGGTCCCTCGATGTTACTCCTGTTTTCCCCAAGTTTTCTTTTCACTAGCGCCACAGCCCATCTACCGGTAGCTGCTGCAGTATTATTTTGTTTTATTTTTCGCGCCAGGGTCCAGGGTGACGACCTATGGATAGAGTATAACTACAGTACGGTACGCGAGCGGCTGCATAAGATGTTGGTTTGCGCGCGTCCCTGTTTTTGCTATTCCCATTTCTTTTTCTTTTTCTTCCCTTTTCCCCTCTCTCTCTTCGCGAAAGCTGGATAAGGTTGCGGCTCAAATCAAGCAATGGAGGTGACAGCAAGCTGACTCGCTGCGGTGGGATGTTGGAGGAACAGGTACAGATGCAGGTTGATGCGCACTTCGCGAGTGATATCTTACGGGGTAATGAAGTGACCGAGATGAGAGTTACGCTTGTAAGGATTATCGATGATGAATTGCCTCCAGGTGAAGATTAGAAATAGACCACCTCCCCAGAGGGTGTAATGATATCAATTGGCCGTTTTTACCATATGTTGCGGTACGCTGCACTATTTTCGGTGCCGCCCAATACCAGTAGGATAGTGGGCTTCGTGGGCTTAGTTAGATCGTTCGTGCGGTAGCTTCACCGTTTTATGTGGCAATAGGGCATGATGGGTTTCCGTGTTTCGGCATACCGTAGCTACCTGACTTACCGGAGTGGGGGAGCAGGATAGGTTTTATCAAGGAATAGAATAGTGTTGTGGAGAAAGGTACTATTGTATCACGTACGGCGGATGCCCGACACATCTGTCGGTCCAACCTTTGATGGTCCTGGCATACAAAGCGACATCCAGAGCTCGAGGGTGTGTTCTTTCTTTCTTTCTTTTTTTTTTCTCCCCCTCGCCGAGACTGAGTTTATCATGATGCGATTATTGTATGCGACGCATCGATGCTGTCATAAATGGGAGAAGGTGACGGATGGCCAATGCATGATATAAAAAGATTGTTGTCAATAGGCGGCAGGGCACCAGGGCAGCAGGACCGCAGCAATTCCGTACCGGTATTAAGGACACGAGAGCCATCTCGACGAGGTATGATACGGTGCTTTCGTTTCCCAATTCAACCAAATCCCATTGTTGTATTGTACGGGATGGATAGGTGTGGATAGAGAGGGTTGACCGAATTTTGCAGATTTAATGTCGGATGTATAAGGGGTTCAATCAGTAGAGTGGATAATATCTGGCTGGGGGCAGTTTTCATACGATATTCCAGGGCTCATCTGTGTAAGCCGTTATTGGGGGGGGGGGGGGGGGTGATGCCTTCAGGAAAAGCTCTCTCTCGCCTACGGTAAGGGAATCCTCTCCACCCATATATAGAGGGGTTGCTCTCCCACCAATTTTTTTCCCATTCCGCCTCCCTTCCCGCACATCACCTTCCGTCCCCCCCACCCCCTTCCATCCCCTAAGCATACCGGCATTTCTTCTGCTGCCATCATACGCCCGGCCATATGATATCTTGGCCGTCGGTAATACTTCTCACGTCCCACTTGAACCGCTGTTCAGGTAGAACAAACTCCTTTCACCTTGACAAAGGGCCTTAAAAGCTTAGATTGTATTATCCCAACTCTCTCTCGCAGTGGGCGAGGGAGCTACGTTAGTTATCTGACCTTTAAACGCTCTTTTCTATATCATTGAAGGTGAGCCTGATTTTCTTCCCGCTTCCCCCCTCGACCGTCCCTCCCTTCTCCCCACACATCTGCTTTCATTTAAGAGAAATTCTGTTCCGATTTTTTTTCTCATTTTTCTCCTTTTCATCATTTATCATTTTTCCTTTCTCTCTTTTCAGTTTTTTTTCTTGTCCGTTTTTAACGAATTCGGACTCCTCTCGTTTCTTATTTCCTATTCCACCTCCCTCTCTTTCCCTTTTTCGCCATTTTTATTTTCCCTTTCTCCATCTGGTGGTGATAAGTTTTGATCCTTACTTGGCTGTTGCCTCCCCACCACCCGATTTATTTTATTTTATTTCTTACCCTTCAGTGCCTCCCACACCTAAAATCAAAGGAGGCAGAACCCTAACCCATACCTTCCTCCCATCTCTCGAGCCCCCTCGCCAGTCCCACTGTTGCGAGCTCAACCTGCCAATTTTTACCTTTTTTTTTGTCCGATTTTTATTTCATTTTTTCACCCTCTCCCATATCCCATATCTGCGTTGTGCTTCCTGTGCCCCACTTACGCCTTACACAAGGGGAAACTTTGCTTGTGCTCTCTGCCTTGCTCTGCTTCGTTGTGTAGTCGCTGCTTTCCATCACCATCGTTTCCCGTTCCCCATCATCAGCAGAAGCAGGACCCCCTAAACCCCCCAGTACCGCCCGCCCCGGTCACGCCCGTCGAACATAGCAGAACTCTTCTGTTACCCCTTCCGACCGACGTTTTCTGACAGGCCTTGTTCCTTTGCTTCTCCCTCCTCCCTTTCCACCTATTCTCCGTCACTTGATCCTTTTTGGAGGCCGTACGATTGAGCGGGGAGGAAAAAAGAAAGAAAAACGTTGTGCGCCCTGTTGTCGAGCCACATCTAATATTGAGAGGTATAACCCCCCCCCCATTGCCTTCTAACTCCCTGTTGCTGCTTTGTGCAATACTCTCCTCCTCCCCCCCCCCCCATTATTAGATGGAGAGAGAAGAAAAGGAATAGTTCTCTCTATGCTTTCACTCTGAAAGTGTACGTGCCCATTACACTCATAGGGATACGGTGAACGCTCAGTCTTTTTTTTACCTTTGACTGGCTCATCATCTTACTGCCCATTCACTGGCTGCGCGCTTTCTCTCTCGCCCTTCTCACTTTCTCTCCCTTCTCTTTTCCCTCGCCCACTCACACATTCACTACACTATCCATTACAGAGAAGCTCTAAGCTCTTGAATCCAATATCTCTCGCTTGCGGGTTTCGTTTCTACTGTTATTTGCTGTCATCATCATCATCATCTCCCCTCCACTCTTCCCCCCTCCCCCCCCCGAAAAACCATCCCACTAGATCGGCCGCTTTTTGCCTCCCATCCCGCCTGCTGTGCCTATATTTCTAGGAGCGTCTACCATTTTTCTCCTCTTTTCCCCCTTCTCCTGCTCCGTCTTTTGATTTCCACCATTTCCCCAGGCGTCTATTTATCCATCACATTGTGGGAAGCTTGTCTTGAATTTGCTCTAAATCTCGAGTTAGCGAGCCACCTGTCGTACCGTAGCTTCCTTCACCACAGCGGGTGCCATACTTTTTTGCTGTTGCCCCTACCACACGGCTGCTACCATCGCAACCACGGCCATCCATCACCTCAACCACAAACTCTGTCACCTTTGCTTCCCCCCTCCTCCTCCACCGCCTTCTAATATTTTGTCAACCACAACCACCTGGGCCACCCTTCCGCTCACGTCGCATTCACTGGCTTGGCGTATCGCAACGTCCATCGCCATCAGGCTAATTTTGTGGGTCACCTCTCTTACAAATCACCTTTCCTCGTTTCTAACTGCGAGCGAAAAAAAAAGTGGCGAAGAAAAAGGGTCTTGCATACAGTCGCGGGCGGCCCTCGAACCTCCATCCGCTCCCTTTCCCTTTTTAACCCTTTCGCGTCGGAGTCTCTCCCTATAACGCATTAGAAGTTTGCCTTCTTCTGCTTCACCTTCGCTAAAGAATAAAGAATACATTAACAACGGGTCTCGTTCACTTTCCGTCGTTTGCAGCTTCTTCATCCCTCCCTTCAGACACCTGTGGCAGAACTTCCGAGCTTTGCTCTGCATTGCACTTAACCTATTCCCCATAGACTTGCACTTTCTCCACGAAAAACACGCCGCTGCAATAATCGTTACCTCTTTCACCCTTCTGCGGAGCTTGGTGCTTTGATCCAATCTCTGCTTTTGCATCAGCGGCAACAACCTCGTTCTTGTCCTGTTGGCATCAGCATGAGCCAGGCGGACAGCAAGGGCGGACAAGTAGGCATGAGTATCAATGTTTTGAATATGGGGATGGGTGTTGGAGGTCCTGCTGGCATAAACATGAATGGCGGCCCAGGACCGCGACCGGCTCCCACGAATAACGAGAGGTCGCTCCTCAATACCTATATTTATGACTATTTCCTTAAGAACGATATGATAGAGAGCGCGCGCTCCTTATTCAATGAGGGCGAGGTCCTGACGCTGCCGAATGATGGCAGTCGAAGGCCAAGTCCGGCGCGTCGGGCGCAAAAACATGATCCTGATGGCAGCATCGTTAATGGTATAGACGATAACCCGATGGATACGGGTGAGGGTTCGCAGAGGAAAACCGAGGATGGAGAGGACGGGACAAAGAGGGGTGATGATTTACCTCGACCGAAGGTCCCTTCGGACTGTCCCCATAGTTCGTTCTTGTTTGATTGGTGGTGTATATTTTCGGACATATTTGGAGCCCGCAATGGTGGAGTAAAGAACCCGCATGCCGCGGCCTACGTAGCCCAGACACAGGTGCGTCTCATCACTCATCCGTATTTAAAGGGTGCAATGCGGAAATCCTTGCGATATTAACGTTCTCGTGATGATTAGGCTGCCCAAAGGATGCGCCAAATGGCGCCGCACCAGCAACAGCTCATTTCTGGGCAAGTTCCCAGCCAAATGTATGCGGGTCGCATTATGCCGGGTGGCATGATGGTCAGCAATGGCATGCACGTTCCGGACAACACTGCTGGCATGGATATCAATCACAAGAACCAGCTTGTTCGGCAGGCCATGCTGAACAGTAACAGAAAGTTGTAACAGCCACCATTCCTAACATCTCATGCAAGCGACGGGACTTAGGCGTTCTTTCGTCTTGTTCGTGTAAACTCCTTTTTTGTCCTCTGTGCTAACATCTTCTTCTTTATTTAGGACCCCACAGCAGATCAACGCGATGAAGAATCAGCAGATGATGCAACAGGCAATGCAACGAACAGAGGGCGATGTAAGCGAAATGAATGGCCAGCAACCAAGGCCGCAATCTCCCGCCACGGCTCAAAATGCTGGTTCTCCTGGCACGAAGCGGATCCGGTTGGATAATGGTGAATATCAGCAGGTTGGAAATGGTCGGGGTGCGCCCCAGGGAGTACCTCCAGGCAGTTCTGGCTCTGCCTCCCAAGCCCATCAGATGCTCTTGGCAGGTGGCATTAATCCGAGCCAGTTGACTCCGCAACAGTTCGCGGCCTTTCAGGGCCAGAATCCAATAACGCAGCATAAATCGATCCAGCTATACGCCCAGAATCTAGCAGCGCATACGGGGCGAGCGGTGTCAGCGTTGAAGCAGCAAGGTGGCCCAGCGTCCACCGGGATGCCCAACATGCCCCAAAACCAGCAGGGCCATGGTTCGCCAATGATGCCGCAAACGACTGAGGGTGCAGCGCTAGGCGTTAGTGACTTTTATGCGACAACACCCGGAGGCGGTGCGATGCGAGGCGGCATAAATCCGGGAAGTGGCAACCACGCGTTGCAGGACTACCAAATGCAATTAATGATGCTTGAGCAGCAGAATAAGAAACGGTTAATGATGGCACGTGCTGAGCAGGACAACATTGCTCACCATGGTGATGGCCAGCGCCGAATGGAGCCCGGATTTCCCCAGAGCATGTCGCCGGGGAGCAGAGCTGCTCCTTCACCCCAGCCCCAAGGCGGCCCCAAAATGGTGGGCACACCTAAGATGCAGAACCAGGGTGGCCCAGCATCTCCGCTTCCTGAAGGACAAATCTCCGGACAAGTACCTCAGCGGAATTCACCGGCTGCTATGGGTGCATTCAATAGCCAGATTCCCCAAGAGGCCCATCAAAACATGATATACCCCCAGATGAAGGATTCGATGGGTATGATGGGTAGCACTCAAGGCGGAGGAGCGCCAAATGGTACTATGATGCGCCCTCCCAATTCGCATCCAGGCTTCAATGGACAGATGTCCCAGGGCGATATATCTCAAATGAGAGCCCAGCAGGCTGGCCGCGGGGGCCCATCCCAGATGGTTGGTCCCGGATGGCAGACCCAGCAGCAACAGCAGATGCAAATGCATCAGACTGTTCAACAACAGCAGCAGCAGCAGCAGCCACAGCAGCCGGGTGGCCAACAACCAGGGCAACCTCCCCAGGTTGGCACCCCGCAGCAGGCAAGGCAGAACTTACCCCACCAAGCGATGCCACCTCCCTCCGCACCGGCGGGTGCACCGGGCAGCGGCCGAACTCAACCTTCGTCGCCGCAGGTGCAAAATCAACAGCCGGCGACGCCGACACAATCGCATAAGCCTGCACCGAAAACTAAGGGTGGAAGGGATCCTGGCAAGAAGGTAAGCTGTTACATGCTGCAACATTTTCCTATTCGAGCTAATTCTAAACAGCAACGGCCTACCAAGAAAAATGCGAGTGCGGCTGCACAAGCACCCAATCCAGTTACTCCGTCATCAGAACCCCCGACACCGACTACTCCGCAGCATGCAAGCTCGTTCGCCCCGGGCGCCGCGCACCAGCGCCCCGCAAACTTCGTACCCGGCGCCCCGCAGGGCGGAAACGGTGCGGGGCAACCTCAGCAGAACGCCCCCAACCCTGCGCCCGCAGCGCCACCGGCCCCTATCACCGCGCAGGACCCAACGACTGCCAACGCATTCAGTGATTTGCCCGCCGATCTGGGTCTTGATGGGTTTGAAGCATTCCCAAACGGTCCGAACGATTCACTGCTGGACAACTTTGACTTTGATTCGTTCCTCAACACCGAGGACAACCAAGGGATGGCGGCGTTCGACGGTCTATCGGGGCAATGGAATGATGGCGTAGAGGCAGGCGCTGGCGATTCGTGACTCAGGTAATAGTGGTCGAACGCGCCTACCCTTTTCCGGTTTTTGATAGTTGTATAATTTCGTCATTGGAGTCGAACGGTTAGTGCGTTGGGGTGTTTTTTTCTCTTTTTTTTTGGAAATTCTCCGACCAACTATGACTTTGTTGACCGTTTTTTTATTCTCTTCCTCAACTCTTGTCCTTTATTGTCTCGGTTATTCTCTTTTTGCTTTTACTCTAGTTACTTTTTTTTGGTGGAAAATCATGATAACAAAACCGTGGGTTTCATTTTTTTCGTTTTTTTTATTGTTGCCAGAAGAAAAATGGGAAGCTACTGGGTTCTGGGTTCTGGGTGGGTGGAGAGGAGGAGCGGCGGCTAGGGAAGCAGTAGTAGTTAGTACCGGTAGTGATAGCCTTCTGTTGAGGGAAAAGGGGGGGTTTGTATGCTTTTATTTTATTTTTGCGATTTTCTTCACTACTATTTATCCTCTCATTATGTTTTCACATCCATCCGTCCGTCCATCCACCTATATTCACACCTCTGCCGATATATTTCTGTACGTCCTTTATTTATCCATCTACCTATTCACTTTACCTCACTGTCTGTTTCTTATTCTTATTCTACTTCGTCTTATAGTTTCTTCCATCCATCTGTATCTGTCCGAGCGTGTGAATGTCTATGTCTGTGTGTGTGTGGGCGCGCACGTGTGCTGGCGTGTGTGCGTGCGTGCGTTTTTCCTATATTTTATCATTGTCGTTGCCGCTATTTGAATGGATTATGGATGAAAGGGAAAGAACCTTATACTCTTGCAGATTTATTGTGGGTGAGATTAAGGATCCGGAGATGTTGACGGACAAGGGAAGAAAGCAGAAGAAAATACCAACCTGATTGACATGCAAAATCAAGTGTTTAACCCTCCCCACCCCTTTTTCTTTCTTTAAATCTTTTTCTCTTCTCTTCTTTTTTCCCTATCACGCGTTTCGTGCCATCTCATGTATCCCCATGAAACCTTTTATTTTTATTTCCCTCGGGCATTTTCTTGTCATAATGCACGGTACCGCTTTCATGCTTTATTAACTGCTCTTGCCCTCCTTTATAACTATTCATTTATCTGTTTACGCATAGTATCGCAATGATGCTTCCGTTCTTACTTGGGTGCCGAGCAAAGGGATTGGATTACTTGTGCGAGGATGTGAGTACTGTACTTGTATTATTATAGCCTTCACAAGTACTGTACCCTACCGGTAAATTGTGTGGGGCTAGAGATAGAAATCACCGGTACGATATTGTAAGTATACCACACCAAAAGTAGCCGACTTCAAGTGGTTGAATTTCCTTCCTGGATTGCCCAGTGAATACAAAAAAAAAAATACTAGTACAAGCTTCAGAACTATGCCAACTTTTCACACGAAGAAGATGGGGGCTAGCAAAGATAGATCAACTAAAATTATTCGGAAAGGGGTGACAGCCACAATTTCCAATACAAAAAGCACCAAGACCCCACGTCACTCTTACTCTTTGACATCCCAAAAAAAAGGGGTGCTTGTAACAACCTGGAAGAGAATCCAAGGAATTCACCTGGATATGTAGTAAATGTTGAGTTCTATTGATTGAACAGAGGTGGTGTTAAATTATATAATTATATGAACATGACTGCTTTACCTGTAAATCGCTCACCTACCGTACCGGTGATTTCTGTTTCAAGCATACTCAGTCGAGACTTGCATCTTAAGATGGCCCCTTCCTCTCTTCCGAGCTCCTTTGTGCCTTCCTTGCCAGTGTAGTATGAGCAGTTAACTTTAAACCTCTCTGCCAGTGCAGTCAATCTCATGGAGGATTCATTGCTATTGTTGGAATGATGGATGGTATTATGAATGCCTCATTTATTTATATTGTACTTTTAGCAGATTTGGTATATTATAATGTGTTTACTATTAGGTATTATCTTCTAATATGATTAAGATATAGGATACTTATATTTCTGTAGGATAGTAGCTTAGAAACTATTAGTAGTAAGTAGAATCTAGGTCCTGAGTTGGTTTCCCATAATTTGTATTATTTGAGTCTGGTTTTGTTAGAACCTATATATTAGTCTTCAATACTAAATTTTTATTTATTTATAAGTACTCCTGATAGATATATTTGTTATATAATATCTGATAAGTAAAAGTACTAATAACATCTATCCATATAACTAATAGAGTAAGGTACAACTACTTGTCAGAAGTGTTCATGAAACATGCTGTATTAGTAAGCTGCCTCGCCAAAATCATAGTACAACAACTACCTATGATATCTACAACAATAAAGCTACCTGCCTGCAACAATAAAGATATCCACCAGTAATAGTGAAAATCCTGCAACTGTGAAGTTATTTTTGTAGAGATCTATGCTGCTCTTATTTTTTATTATTTTTTTAACTATAATTAGTTGAATATGAAATATAAAGTCCTTAGTATTCAAATAAACTAAAAGAAGACTAAACACATTATGAAAAGAAATGATTAATACTAAGAAATTATATAAACTATTAGCTAGTATGTCTACTTCTACTATGTAAATAATTGTTGTAGTTATGATCTATGCTATTTAATTATATTACTTATCATTGTAATGTATAATAAATCAATCTACTATTACCTCATAGTCAGATTTTCCCAACTATACAATTACAATTAGACAGGTCTTAAAGTACAAATACTTCTGATTAGTGGCTATAGAATATCTTAAATGGTTATTTAATAGGATACCCCTCTCTAAAACCAAATTTGACAGAATACCACTGTGAAACAAAAATTGATAGAATGCTATCCACTACATGTCTTTCAACCTACTATTTTCTACACAGTCTATTGTACCTCTAATACTATAGATTTAACATAGAGTGAAATATATTAAATTGAAACAGAAGCAATTATTTAATAGTATACTTCTCTACAGCTCAAAATTTAACAGAATACTCTTGTAAAAAGAAAAAGCTTAATATAATATCCCTCCATATATTAACTGAAAAATATAAGCAGTGATAATATAGGAGAAGAATGAAGAGTATGGATTCTATTACATATTTGTTCCTCTATCAAGTAATAACTATCTTGAGTCTAGCCATTTCTTTCCATCTCCAGCTTTTCTTAATAATAAGTATTACTATTCTACTTTTGTTTACAATTCTTATTCCTTCTCCAATAGTCTTATTATGACTTTGTTATTACAGCAAGCTTCTAAAGAATTCTCTAACTACAATCCTCAACTTTGCTTACAAGTACTTTGTAGTATAACTTGGTAATAAAAATAGAGAAATTAGACTATAGAACTTGTATGATATTGTAAAAGTTTGTTTGACAACTGATTACCTATTTTATTTTTAGATAATATTGAACAAAGAAGCAGAATAAGTTATAATAGTTGATTATTATATTCTAACATACCTACAATCCCATTTTTAGTACTTGCTTTTGTATATTACTTTAATATATTTACTTTTATTACTTAATGCATTCTGCCATGTCAGACCTATATTTTTGGAGGTGGGATAAACTATGTGGAAAATATTTGGTGGAAGAATATGTGGTAGGTGGCATTCTATCAAACATTTTTTTACAGTGGCATTCTGTCAAATTTGGATTTGAAGAGGAGTATTCTATCAAATAACTGTATCTTAAATTACCAAGTATTATTAGTTCAATCATTTTTTAAGCTTAATCAATTTGGATTCAATGAGATTCAGATTAGAGCAATAAGAGAAGTGCATTTTAAAATGAATGCACTGATAGTTATTTAGAATTTGAGAAATTAGGATAATATTCTAGAGTTAATAGAAAAGGGTAATTGCTATCTCTTCTTAGTATTAATCATGTTTCTGCATGATATGTTTAGTCTTTTTTTAGTTTATTAAAATACTAGTAGCTATCTATTTCATATTTAATAATTATGGTTAAAAAAAATCAAAAAACAAGAGTAGTACAGAATCCTACAGAAATATCTTTACAGTTATAGGATCTTCACTGGTATGGTGGGAGATACCTAAAACGTACACCTAGGGGGATTTAAAATGTAATGCCTTATATCAGTAGGTGTTAGGGGGTAGGTAACTCTAAGGTCAAGTGAGTATACACTAGGCCCTGTAATCTTCTGTCTCAGAGATAGTCAAGAAGGCTCATAAAGATAGAAGTAAAGTAGAATGAATATATTGATAAGATCTCTGCTCCGGTTGCTGATGATAGACTTAAAAGCTAGGGATTTTTTTTTGGTTTTGTTAGACTCATTGATTATTTGTTTAGGGTACAAAAAACGTATGGAGCGCTAGCTATGATGACAAAAAACCCATATCCCTCCTCTCGCTACAGGAAAAAGCCAACCCCCCAAGCCCCTCTGGTATGGAGCCAACTGCACATCTCGCCTCAAAGAAAAGAAACGCAAGCCCGGCTAGACGGACGAACAAGGAAATCCTAACTAAGAAGAAAGCAGGAAGGGCCAGGAAAACCCGCTGAGAAATCCCAAAAAGACAAAAGAAAGATTAGTAGCAAGCCATGTAGGTCCCGAAGGGCAAGTCCACTTATTCAAGCGGGAAGCGACATATGAAGCGCGTTAAGATAGGGGGCCCCCCCCCAGACCCACTCCAAGGAGGCAGTGCAATACCATGGAGAGAAGAAGGAGACCAGCCGGCCGTGAGCGATAACCAGAGGAAGGGGAAGGTGTAGTAGTAGGGTGCCAGCCAATCCAACCGTAGGGAGAGGACAGCGGAGGGGTAGACCCAAAGACCTTAAACATTGTCTATCGGTATTGCGTTCGTGTCTGACTAGGCAGCCTCTTAGGGAAACAAGAAAATGGGGAGATCGACAGTAGCCTGTTGGCTGTTCTCCCCTACTGCAACTGTAGTCCCGGCCATCTGACGATGGTGGTTAAGGAGTTGCCGACTGTGAGAAGGGTAAGCGAGGCTAACTCAAGAGGAGGAGAGGACTCTCCACCACGCGTGGAGGGAGGAGAAAGGAAGAGCAAGGAATATCATCAACAGCCGCCTAG